GCTACTACTGTTAAGGATCTGACAAAGGAAAACTCAGCATGAATGAGCGGTTATTCCAGTGCTCCGATCGAATCAGTTGTTAAGATTCAAGGTGATGAATAGAAAGGGGACAAACTCTCCAGATAAACTCCCATCATAATTTGGCTTTCAAACACATAAATTGGACATTAGCATATTACTCAACTGTTGAACTTCTGTCTGATTGAAGTTGCTCATTGTCTTGAAGGAATATTTTGAGGGATAGGATAATTGATTCAAGACTGGAGAACCTGAAACTCAAAAGAATTACGTCATGAAGCAAACATCAAACATACATTGAATCAAATGGAAAAGTCTGGTCTGATTCCGAGTGTCAATCCATGGTCGAGCCTGTGCCTGGGCTCAAGCCAATCGAAATATCAACATTCAGAGTCATCAACATTTTTTTCGGTAGGCAATGTAGGACATTTATCGTTTTGTGTTCACGTACGTCTCAAAATAGTCATAATATAAGTGACCTGCTCATATATCATTGATCTACTGTAATCCAATCCCCTTACTAATAATCAACGATAACAATAACCTACCACCGTCAATAGAAACCATAAAAATAGATTCTCGACGAGCCATCCTACAAGGTAACCACGGCTCACCAGCTTTCAGCGCTGCGTTAATTCCTGCTGCGTCGCTGCAATATTCTATTTTGAATTTTGAATGTACATTGGTCCAAATTCTATATTAAAATATTTGATATCCCTTGATAATGAAGCGCGATCGAACTTGCATTAAATTTCAATAGCTGCGTATACTACATTAAAAACGTTGTTATTTTCTGCTCGTCATTATTACTATCGTCATTAAAATTCCCAATGAAATTGCATTGAAATGAAAAACACATTTTAAAATGAACCTGTAGGACGTGAATATGACGAACTTTATGTCCCCTGGTGTTACCATATGATGCGCACTACTTTCATTGCAATAGACCGATGAGAACATTTTCGAGATACTGAAAATGTGGAAATTCTTTTAAGGCTGTCCCATTCTACAACCAAACTGTTCTTATTTGATCGTTCTATTGATCAGTATCAAAACTATTGAAACAGTGACAATAGGGAA